GAGGGTAGGGAAATTTGGAATAGGGCACCGGAACCCAAAGGGCCAGCAGCTGGCCAACATGATGATGAACTCTTTCTTCCAGAAGCGGTCCTATAGAAAGTGGACCTGGTCGAGCTCCGACGGTTCGACAAAAAATTAGATTGACCTCATTATGACGACTAGACGCCAATTGTTCAGTGATGTCTTAGTGACACGGACTTAGGGACACGGTGATTCTCGAATGCGGCAACTTGTTCTATCACCGGGAGGGCGACCATCTCTCCCAAGGAGGTGTTGTATTTATCGTCCACAAGTCTCTCGTTAAAAACTTTGTAAAGATTAGAAGTGTGTCGATGAGGGTTGCGTACCTTATACTCAGAATCACCAAACGGTATTCGCTGAAGGTCATACAGGTATACGCCACCAACGTCGGCACATTCCGATGAGGAGGTGGAAGAAATGTATGAAGATATTTCTAGAGCCATGCATTCCTCCAAAACTCACTATACGGTGTTAATGGGAGACTTCAACGCAAAACTAGGAACTGTTTCTTTCAGAAGCGGACCCACAAAAAATGGACCTGGTGGAGCCCCGACGGTTCGACAAAAAATGAGATTGAATTAATTATGACGACTAGACGGCAGCTGTTCAGTGATGTCTCAGTGATCGCAAGGGTAAAAACTGGCAGCGATCACCGAATGGTTAGAGACACACTGAACCTAAACGTTAAGTTGAAGAGATCTCGTCTAATGAAGTCAACGCTCCGTCCCCCTCGTGCTCTAATTCAAAATCCCAAAACCTTTCAGCTCGAGGTACAAAACCGTTTTCAGTGCCTACAAGATTGCAATGCAGTGGACGATATGAATGACAAGCTCGTGGAAACTGTCCATGCGGTCGGAGCTAAGTTCTGCAAGACCCGCCGCAGAAGAACACAAAAACTCTCCTATCACACTCTTAATTTCATGGCTGTTAGACGGGATTGAAGCTGCGGTCGTCAGCAGACTTAACAGTTTAGCGGCGCTGTCGTCGCGCCACTAGCACACCGAAACACACCGAAGTCTAAATCGCGCTATTAACATTCCGAATCATAGACAGTATATATAGAACTTCTCCGAACTATCACTTGGAATGTTGGTCGCTCCCCGGGCAGAACACCTTGCCCGGCGGGAGATCTCCCTTTTCCTTTCACGGCCACAACAGCAAACAGGCAACTGAATAGACAGATCTCCAAATGCATGCGGCAAGACTTATGCAACTTTAATACTGCTCGTATTGAAGAAGCGATCGAGAGGAAGCAGGGCTCCAAAGTCGTTGCCAGAGATCTGTCTGCCAGAAAGAGCCAACTGTCAAAGCTGAAGACTGAGTGTGGCAGCATTGTTTCCAAGACAACTGAGATTTTCAGTGAGATTGAGAGGTTCTATGGGCATCTGTACACATCATGGTTGGAGCCACATGCAAGTGTGAGTAACGATCCAAGAGCAAGTCTTATCTGACACTGTTCCGATGATATCCCGGATGTCAGTCTGAGCGAGATTAGAATGGCTCTCCAACCACCTTAAAAATGGCAAGGCCCCAGGGAGGATGAAATTACAGCGGAGCTTCTGAAAGCGGGTGGAACACCGGTACTTAAAGTCCTTCAGAAGCTTTTCAATTCCGTCCTCCATGGTGGTATTACTCCGAAGGCGTAGAGCAGAAGTGCGGTGGTCTTGTTCTTCAGAAAAGGTTACGACTCTCTCTTGAAGAACTACATACCGATTTCCGTAGTAACATCAATAACGAGTACATCACTCACCTTCGATTTGCCGACGACATAGTTCTTATGGCAGAATCGCTGGAGGATCTAAGCACTGTGTTCAATGACCTCATTAGTGTCTCCCAACGGAAAGGTCTTAAGATGAACATGAACAAAACAAATATCATGTTCAATGTCCTGGTCTTACCTATGCCGTTAGTTGTTGGGAGCACTAAACTCGAATTTGTTGACGAGTACGTTTACCTGGGACAAATAGTTCGACTAGATAAGTCCGAATTCGACCGAGAGGTCAATCCACGGATTCAACTCGGCTGGGCAGCGTTCGGGAAATTACGACATCTTCTCGTCAGATATACCTCAAAACCTGAAAATTAGATTGTACAACCAGTGCGTGTTGCAAGTGATGACTTACGGATCTGAGACGTGGTCCTTCACTGCTGGCCGTATGAGGACGCTAGGTCGCTCAGCAAGCTATGCTCGGGATTTCTCTGCGTAATAAACTTAGAAATGAGGATATCCGCAGTTGAACCAGAGAGTCAGAAGTGGTACAAGTACGACGTTCGTCGACTCACGACCCTAAAAAAAAAGGTCTTGGCATGCTCTGATCACGAATCTGTGGTCCATTTTTGCGTAGGATGCACGGTTCTGGAGATGTGCAAATCAATTAACTCTTATCTAATTGATATCCGGTGCGGGCCTCCACCGTCATTAGCGCCCCATTGTTCTTATCTACTTATCTATTGTTCATTGAATACCGTCATTATCTATTCTTCCTCAGCGTAGTGCTATTGTATTATACTCCTTTGTTCCTATCTACACTAATCTGACTCATCAATAAAACACATTACCTAATTTTGTTAAAATTTTTATTTACAAAATACAAAATCTTATTACTTATTATCTATAAAATAAGAGCGAAACATCTCATCCACTAAAATATCGTTGTACAAGTGTTCCCTGTAAATATACTCGTAAAACTATGCATTGAACATCCCTGAAACTTATATAGCAAATACATTAAACAATATTCGCCACAAACTGAAGTCCACTCATTCTGAATCCTATCAACATTCCAGTTCCATCTTTTACAATTTCTTTTTAAAAACTCTAGATGATATCGTACAGGTGCCCGTCCGAATGAATCAAAATATTGACCGACGTCATTCGTATCGATATATAAAGCTACCCAATGTGACCCTGGTTTATCATCTGTATCCAAATTGCATAGTATATACGTTGGTACGTGGGTGTACATGGGCAGTTTATTGGCAGCATAAACATTATTTTCTAGAGTGGGGTGAATCTTTTTCAGATGTTGTTGTACATCTAGTGTATCCATGATATTACTGCTATTAGTAGATTATTACAGTACCAATCTACTCAATGACTAACATAGGAATGATCAATTATAGTAATTTCTAAATATTAAATTGTATTCTTTGTGTTATACAAAACGTATTTGAGTCATCAATATACTGAACAAGACACGACACGAAGGACGAAGGAATGTTGAGATAAGCAACAGAATGTGAGATAAGCTTGTTGACGCATAAAGTTATTATAAATTCCACTGCAGAAATTCTTTAGATTAGAATTATCACTTACTGATACTATATAAGACCAAGCAACTGCAGTCATTGAGTTAGTGTATGGTCGTTTGACCGCAGTGGATCTATCAATACTACATTTGTGTTACTTCAACGCTTCAAAGGCCATAGATGTAAGTATTTATTCTATTGACAAACTTACTTTTCTTTCTGTTATTTTCTTACGTGTGTATGATTTAGTGTTAACAAATTATATTTAGATATTGTGTGTGTATATGATTAAGCCGTGGTAGCTCAGATGGTTAGCGCAAGCTGTTAATTTCACAGTACGCGACCCGGGTTCGATCCCCGCCGGCACCAATTAAATTGTTAATTGCAATTTTAAGTGCTGATTTACCACGTGCTCACCGGTGAATGAAACATCGTGAGGAAACCTGCATGTCTGAGAAAATTTCGAAGGCATGTGAAGTTTGCCAACACGCATTGAGACAGCGCAGCGAACATTTCCTAGCCCTAAAACCCTCTCAGAAATGAGAGGAGGCCTATGTTCAGCAGTGGACTTTAATAGGCTGTAACTTTAACTTTTTTAACTTTTATGATTAAGTGTTAACAAATTGATATTAACATGATAACTGTGTTGTTGCAGAAATCATTGAGCTTCGATGAAAATACCTATAAACAGTATTACTACTCGCCACTCTCCCCTCAAGAAGAGAGTGATGACATCGTCATTAATAATAACACATGCGATGGTGGAAAAAGAAAATCGCAATCGATTGATCATTTTTTTGAAGATGAATCAAAAATATAAAAGAGGAAGCTGTTATCATCTACCGTAGCACGAGCCGCTAGAGATGGTGTATCATACATTTCTACTAATTCTGACGACGGAGACCAAGCGACGCATCTCATCAAAATTGAAATGTACGATATGAAGAAGCTATCCAAGATTCCAACTACTGATCATTGGAAACATGCTTCCACGAGGATTAAATATTACGTAAAGACTAATAAGGATAGCATCTACGACAACACAAACGCATTATATACAATATTACAAAGACAATAGCAGAAAGTGAAAAAGTTAAAAAATACTTTTTTAACAATGACAGTCATTATCGCGTAATACTTTTTTTAACAATGACAGTCATCAGTTGCGCGCGCGCTGCGTCTCGAGACGGTCGTGTCATATGTGATTGCAGTGAAACCGTTACGGCGGCGGCGTTACAAGTTTCGAAAATGACGTTAAAATGTAATAGTTGTAATATAGTTATTAGCGAGTTATTAGCATACGTGCAAAACAAGCTGTCTGTAGCAGATGAGGACAGCATTGTTAAAATATGTGCTTCTACGTTCTCATCGGAACAAATTGAGGATGCAAAAAAACTTGCTCGTGAATTCCCTACCGGCGGATCAGCGCAAAACTACGAGGAAGGGTAAAGGCAAAGAAAATCGCACTTTGAACGATATAATCGGCCTTTTTAAGGTCACCGACCCTGACGTTTTGCCAATTTTCGTGGCGAGAGATTTAGATAAATTGCCTCCGATTACATTTGATCACCTGGACGTATCTAAACTACTGAAGGATCTGGCTGTTGTGCAGGCTGACATTAAAAATATCAAGTCTTCATACGTAACTGTCGACCAGCTGGAAGAGGTTAAAAGGGGAGTGCCAACATTTTAAACATACGTCGCCGCCCTTTTCGGCGGTAAAGGTGAACATGCGAAGAGGAGCATATCGAGACAGTGGTCCGATTGGATTGTCGCAATTCGATGATACGATTATTACGAATCACAGTCAACATCTTAATGAGGAACCGTCATCTCCGAAAGATTATAATCTAAATTACAGATGTATAAATTTTATGGAGGGTAATTATAAATCTCAAGGAACGGTCGGCAGCGGTGTCTCAGCTGTTGAAGGAGCGCGCGTCACGGAACAAGTAATCGGTGCGGTAGCGGGTGCGGGCCAGCCTAGTATTGCATCATCGCCGACGCCCGCGCCGACCGAGCCACGAGCCAGCCCGCCAGCCAGCTCGGGGGCAGCGTCGAAACATGCAGCGGGTGCAATTGCGCGGTCTTTCGCCGAGGTAGCGAGCGCGGAGGGGAAGTGGAGAGTGGTGAGACGAGGCCAGAAACAAAGGAGATACCGTTATACGGGAGCCGCGGGTGTGTCCAACGAAGAAAGTAATTTTAAAGCGGCAGATCGTAAAGTGCCCATGTTTATAACGATGGTTCATCGGGACACGACGGAAAACGATATTGTGCAATACGTTTACAATAAAACGAGAGAAAAGATAACACTCGAAAAGATTTCCTTTAGTAAAGAAAACAAGGACTACAACGCTTACAAATTTTTTGTATCAGAGCGGAAAATAGATATTTTCTTAGATAAAACGCTTTGGCCCCAAGGTGTGATCTTTAGGCGCTTCGTCAACTTCAAGCGAAACCACAGCTCTGGAACGAACGGTACAGTAAATACCGTGAACGGCCCAACCCCAAATGGTAATGGATAAAATCCTCTCGTGTACTTTTGTCAGTTTCAATTGTAAAAGTATAAAACGATCAGCTGAGCATGTGAGGCAGTTGTGTCAGTCATCGGATGTTATTGCGCTTCAAGAAACGTGGTTATTTCCACACGATATTCAGTTTCTTAGCGAGATTGATGACCGTTTCGGCAGTACGGGCACCTCTGCGATAGACACGGCGGCGGGGATGGTCTGCGGTCGACCTTACGGAGGTGTAGCGTTATTGTGGAATAAAAGTGTCTTTCAAAATGTGTCAGTAATAAACTGTGATAATCCGCGTATATGTGCGATAAAAATAGTGCTGGGTGATAGGTCCATCCTAGTGTTTAGCGTATATATGCCGACGGATACAGTGGTAAATCTCACGGAGTTTACTGACTGCCTCAGCTCGGTGAGTGCTATTATTGATAATAGTAATATAGAATGTGTCTATATACTCGGAGACTTTAATGCGCATCCAAACGAACGCTTTTATGCAGAGTTGACGTGTTTCTGTGACGAACAAAACTGGTCATGTATAGATGTACAGTTTTTAGGAGTGAGCGCGGACACATACACATTTGTTAGTGAAGCCCACGGGTCGAAAAGGTGGCTAGATCACTGTATAACCACGAAATCTGCGGCATCGTCTATTTTGAATGTTCATGTAAAGTACGATGTGTTGTGGTCTGACCATTACCCTTTAATAATTAAATGTAATTTAGATATTGTTAAACCGAAGTATACGAGTACACATAAAGTTGTAAACGAGATTCTGTGGGGAAATAGAAAACCGGAAGATATTTTATTATATACGAAATTATGTAATGAAAAGTTGAGATCAATCGATTTCCCCGAAGAGTTTCGTTCTTGTAGTGATTTTACTTGCGAGTCTACCGATCACAATTTACTTATCGATAAATTATATGGCGAAATTATAGATATTTTGACGGTGGCCGCAACGGAATCCAACACTGTAAGATTGCGTGGAGGGAGGCGGCCGGTGGTTGGGTGGAACAGATATGTGCGCGATGCTCACGGGGGAGGCCAGATCTAAATTTTTAATGTGGGTTTGGTGGGGTAAACCGGATAGTGGAGAAGTTTATGAGGAAATGCGGCGTAGTCGCAATTTATTTAAGTCACGCTTACGCTGGTGTCAAAACCACAGCGAGCAAATTAAAATGGACATTGCGGCTACGCAGCATTCGAACAATGACTTTAAGAACTTTTGGAAATCTACCAATAAATTAAATGGTAGACCTGGCTTACCAGTGAGCGTTGAGGGTATTAATGACCATAGTCTCATAGCGGACATGTTCAGGGACCATTTTACGGTGACGTCACCGTTGCGACCATCACAGCTTGGAAGAGATGAATGTACGGGTGGTCAGGAGATTGGAATCCGATTTACAGCAATGGATGTCAATAATGCTATAGCCTCTATGTCCCGTGGCAAGTCTCCTGGCCATGACGGTCTGAGTATTGAACACCTAAGGTATGCGGGTCCTTATCTGCCCGGAGTGCTTGCCATGTTTTATAACTTGTGCATGGCACACTCGTACTTGCCTTCAGCGCTGATGAAAACTGTGGTGGTGCCAATTGTGAAGAACAGAACGGGGGATGTGTCTGATAAATCCAATTACAGGCCTATCTCACTAGCCACGGTTGTTGCGAAGGTTCTTGACAGTTTGCTTAGCGTCCACCTTGATAAATATATAACCTTACATGATAATCAGTTTGGTTTCAGGCCAGGTTTGTCAACTGAGTCGGCCATATTATGTCTGAAGCAGACTGTTAGGTACTATTCGGTTAGGCGTACACCTGTATATGCCTGTTTTCTCGACCTTAGTAAGGCTTTTGACCTGGTAAATTATGATATCCTATGGCAGAAATTGAAAAATACTGGACTGCCTGAAGAAGCAACCAGAATCTTCAAATATTGGTACCGTAACCAGGTCAATGTTGTGCGATGGTCCGAATCTTATTCGCAGCCATATAGGTTGGAGTGCGGAGTTAGACAGGGAGGCCTAACCTCCCCTAAGCTCTTCAACCTGTATGTCAATGCCCTCATAGAGGAGCTCAGTAGCACACATGTCGGTTGTCACATTGACGGAGTATGTCTTAGCAACATCAGTTACGCTGACGACATGGTGTTGCTGAGTGCTTCTGTTTGTGGCTTAGCGAAACTGTTGAGCATATGTGAAAACTATGCTCACAGTCACGGCTTAATTTATAATGTGAAAAAAAGCGAATGTATGGTCTTTCGGGCCAAGGGAAAAGCATTACCATCAATTGTACCACCCATTAAATTATATGGTACGCCGTTAAAAAGGGTGTCGCAATTTAAATATCTAGGTCATGTGGTAACCTTTGACTTGAAAGACGATGCTGATATCGAGAGAGAGCGCAGAGCATTGTCGGTTAGGGCGAACATGATAGCTCGCAGGTTTGTTCGTTGTTCCACCCCGGTTAAAGTAACGCTATTTAGAGCTTACTGTTCTTCATTTTACACAAGCAGCCTGTGGATCGATTTTACGCAGAATCAGTACAATGCTCTGCGCGTTCAGTACAATAATGCTTTTAGGATGCTGATGGGACTGCCTCGATTCTGCAGTACGTCGGGTATGTTCGCTGATGCGCATGTTGATTGTTTTCACTCGATCATGCGCAAGCGGTGCACATCCCTGGTACGCAGGGTTAGGGATGGTCCCAGTGGCGTCCTGAGGGCATTTGCTGACAGGCTGGATTGTCAGTACCTGAACCACTGCCGTATGGTGCACGTGCTGACAAATCAGGGCTGTCTTAGATATAAGATATAGATTAAGGTAGTTTTAAGTTTACTAACATTAGACTAGTGTTTTTCTTATATATGTTACTAACAAATATGATCTTTAAGGTCGAAATAAATGATTTTTATTTTTTATTTTATTTATTTATTAGCTGATCATTAGTGAATGTGATTCTGTTTACTTAAATTACTTCTGTGTACTCACTATATTCTATTTCTAATCCTTTGCTAGACTATAAATATCGGACATTATTTGAAATTTGGGTATCAGTTGGTCTACCAACAGTGAAGTTTGCACCAGTGCTTTCTTCTCCCCAACCATGAAAGAGAATACGGAACTATTCAACAGCGAATTAAATCAGGAGTTGTCTAAAGTTTGTGATGAAATGGAGAAGGATCAACTGTTAGATTCATCGTATGATGATGAGTTGTATAATCACTGTGCGATGGTTGAAGCACAGTTTAAGTAAGTAAAATAAACATTCATTTCGATCATAATTTACACATTGTCTTATACAGTTTTTAATAAATTTAAACATTTTAGTAATCAACCACTACAACTTGGAAGAGGAACGAAGCGAACGAGCAGCAAAGAACCCAAGATCATCAAAAAACCAACAACGGAAGCAGAAGCGCCTACCTCTGCAGGGAACAGTATCAGTAACGATGATCAAGTGGAATGTCTAACGTGTCATATATTTATCAAGAAACGGTATTTAGCTAATCATTTTAAAAGTAATGTTCACAAAAATAATCTTTTAAATTCTCATAACTCTTTATCAAACGTTAGTGTTATTGAATCTGCTTTTGGAAATAGGATTTTAACTTATAAAATCAAGAATAGAGTAGATAGTAGTAGAGTAGATAGTAGAGAGATAGAAGAGTTCGACATTGGTAAATTTTGAAACTCCTGAACTATTTTTAAATTCTATTAAAGATGATATTTTATTTTTAATACAAGAGTGTATTCATCAACACATAATTTTTAAAGTAAACTTCATATTGCATGCTGATTTTGTTCAACGAACTAAAGATCATAATACGTTCGATTTTCAAACGCTTAACTATATTATTTGTCAAGGAGATGACTTAAATATTTTTTTTCATCTTTAAATGGTACAATTACTACTAAAATTAGTGTATTTGAAAAAAAAGATAGTGGATGGAGTCTAAAAGACATAAAATCTATAGAAATGAATGTTAATAAATTTAACCCCCCTACGCGGTACTTCATACATAGATCTTCCTCGTGACATAAGATTAAAAAAGGCTGTTATAAATGTAAAAAGCAGGGATTATTTTTGTTTAAAATGGGCGTTACTCTCGGCGTTATATCCCGTAAACAAAAACGCGGATCGGGTATCATCGTACGTTAAACATGCAAATAAACTTAAATTTGATGGTATTTCCTTTCCAGTTAAAATTTCTGACATTACTAAAGTAGAGAAATTAAATGATATTAGTATTAATGTTTTTGGGTTAGAATATAATAAAGAAAAACGATCTAATTCTATTGTAGGTCCATTATTTTTAACAAAGTGTCGTAAAGATAGACATATCAATTTATTATTTTTTTCCAAGGATACAAAAAATCATTATTGTTACATAAAAAAATTATCGCGGTTAGTTAGTAAACAAATTTCAAAAGACGGTCACATCATGTACATTTGCGAAGCATGTCTACTTCATTTTCCATCTCAGGAGAGGTTAAATAACCATGAACAATACGATTGTACCCATATTTGTACATAGTACCAAACAATGAAACTTAAAAATAAAGAATTGGTTTGGTCAACCCATTTCAAATGATAAAATTAAATTTGAT